GTTAAATCTTTCCTGGATGGCGAGTACCACATGGAAAAGACGGTGCAGAAGATGGAACGGCAGGGTCGGACCGCCGAGGACATCGCAGAGTTCAAATCCACGGCCGACGCGATCCAAGAATTCGTGCGCGAGAACAAGCTCGAGCCCCTGGTGCGCGCCAACTATGTGCGGACAGCATTTCAGAAGCCGGGTGACGACCGCGTCCGCATCGCCATCGACACCGACATCGCCTTCATTCGCGAGGACACGCTCGACAGAAATCGGCCATGCCGTGACCCCAAAGAGTGGCACCGGCTCGACATCGACAACAGCAACATGACTTACCCCTTCAGCAACATCAACCAGAGCGAAGTCTCTCGCTTCCCCTATGCGGTACTCGAGATCAAGCTCAAAGAGGACACCACCCGCGGCAAGCGGCCATCCTGGATCCAAGACCTGATGGCCTCGCACTTAGTCCACCCCTGTCCGCGCTTCTCCAAGTTCGTCCACGGCACGGCCTCGCTCTTCGAGGACTACGTCAACCGCTTGCCCTTCTGGCTCAGTGACCTTGACACCGATATCCGCAAGGACCCCCAGGTTGCCTTCGAAGAGGAAGAAGAGCGCCGGGCCCGCCGCGCCGAAACCGAACAAGTCGTCGGCAGCTTCCTCGGCACCAAACTCGGCTCCTACAAGCCCTCGCGCTCCTCCCCCGTGGCAAAATCCTACCTCGCCGACCGCTACGCCGCAGACCAGCAACAACAAACCCCCAAATCCCCTTACTTCCCCTCCAGCGCTGCCGCAGCGGCAGGCGACGAAGCAGGCGAACCCAGCCACGCCACGCCCCAATCCCCCACCGAACCTGCAACCCTTAACTACGGCACGCTCTCTTCCATCTTCCCCGGGGGGTTCTCCCTCTCCAAGTACTCGCGCGCAAAGCAAGCCCGCGAGGCGCGCGGCTCGGTCGCCTCCCTGCCCCCCGGCGTCGTCGAACCCAAGGAGTGGATCAAGAATGCCGGCCCGTTGCAGATCGAGCCGAAGGTCTGGCTTGCGAACGAGCGGACGTTCCTCAAGTGGCAGCATATTTGCGTGTTGTTGGGTGGGTTGGCAGTGAGTTTGTATAGTGCTGGCGGGGAGGGGAATATGTTGGCGCAGGTGATGGGCGGCGTGTTTATTGGGGTGGCGGTGTTTGTTGGGGTGGAGTTATTGGGTGGTGAGGAGGAGGCGGAGATGATTGTGCAGCGGAGCGGGAAGGACTTTGACTTTTTGGCGGGGCCGTTGGTGGTGAGTGTTGCGTTGGCTGTGGCGTTGGGGGTGAATTTTGTTTTTGCGGTAAGTTTCTCGAAATCTTCAAATTGGTGGTGTTCTTGTGCTGACGATGGCGTAGTACCGGCAGGCCTTCGGAAAGGCTGGGATGGGAGGGGTGGAGGTGAATGGGACTGTCGCTGGGGCGGAGATGGGGGAGTTGCGGATATGAAGTGTACCTTGGTTATGAGGCAGTAGTTGGATGTCTGGTCAAAGGAAGATTGGACTTGGTGCTGATTGATGGAGTATATATATAGCCGGCGTTTTGGATACGGACATTGACATCCTACTGCCTTGGAGACTGGATGCGGCTGAGTTATGCATGACAACTTAGTCCCAACCACCATCGACCTTCCCCGACCCTGAGCCTCGGTTTCCACGCCTCCACCACCTTTGGCGTTCTGTTGAGCGATTATGATTGCGACATTAGAGGTAGTATTCGCTCTCGGCTTTGCCTTCTTTTTCCTAGCTGCCCATTCTCGGCCTAAAATGGGCGACGCTACCCTCAATACCACGGGCACGCTGTCCGCCCTCGACGATGCACATGCTGCAGTGTTCAAGCAGGCGTTGGCAAGGATCTTGTCCACGGAGGTGGCCGAGTACACCTACGCGGAAATCCTTGATGGACTACCGACCGAGACTTCGTTCCTTGAATTCCACTTCTATCAAGAAGGACATCCCGTCTTCACGCAGAACCACACTTCGTTGTGCCCAGGTGTAGTACGCAGGGTTCGAGAGTTTAGGGATGCCTTTGATCCGTTGTCACTGGTGTTCTCGTCGACTGTAGGTCCCCATATCCGCCCTACATGTTCTGCTCAGGACCTGTTAACTCCATTGTAGCTACTCGCCGCTTTTCAGAGGAGTTATCCTGGGACCCAACGGTTCGAGCTGCGCCTGATGGAGATGCTGGCCGTCACTTGCCATCAAATTGCCGTAGACTTGTTTAACCTCGACGACGGTGTTCATAAGCATGACGTTTACGAAAAGTGGCGAGACCTTCCCCGCGATACCATACTGCCTGGTCAGCATATTGCTCCAGTGGTGTTCTACCACAACGCCTATTTTGCCCATCAACAGTATCCCAACGGCATGGGCGATGTTGTCGGGTACTGGGCCGAGGCAAAGATCTTTGGCGGCGTTGTGATCTTTGACCGCGGGCCGTCCGGGACAGAGGCAAGTTGGCATCAGGAAACACAATCAGACAATAGACTAACCCCTCCCCAGTGTCGTGACCTCTTCCTCCATCCCTCCCGTGTGCGAGGTCCACGCACCATCTTCCCACCCACCCCAACCAATACAACCATCTCATCGCCTTCCTCCTGGATCCCAGCCCCCTCGCTCGATGGCTCCGACTGCCCGATCCCCATCCACCCCACGCTCAACAACAAGTGGCGCTACGACCCCTGGGACTCGATGACACGCTTCAACATCTTCCGAGACCGCTTTGAGCGCAGACCTCCGCCGGCGGGACCCAAACCATGCCGTGGCGTAAAGCATGCCGTTGACTGGCCTGAGATCATGGACGAAAATGCTATTCTTGTGCTACAGGAGGAGGTGAGCGAGGGAAAGCCGCTGGATCAGGCTCGTTGGGATAGGGCGATGGAGGGATTGAAGAGTATAACGCCGTCTTCGCCGCATTGGGTGGGTGAGTGGCGGTTGTGAGGGCGGATACTTCAGGACGAAGCATGTCTCGCCATCCGTGCATTTTCAACAACACCACCACCGTCCGCCTTTATATTATTATTCCTACGCCGCTGTGCCCTGCGGGCATGTCGGACCCTCCGCTATTTACTGTACAGGAAAACCGCACCCTTGCGGGCCGGGTGAAAAACCTATACCGACGATTAAGGAAAGAAATCAGTGAATGAGCCTGCGAAATACAAAAAGAGAAGGCCTCTTGGCCTTCGACGGGTCAGAGTCAGATTGCCTACTCCAGCTCGAGCTTCCTAGCCAAGCTGTACATCGGCAGTCTTCCTGAATCCATCAGCCAGCCCAGTATCCTTCTCGTCAGCCGAGCAGTCGAAGGACTGGCACCCTGTAGAACAGAGTAAAAGTCCCGTCGCGTCCTGACTTCTGTTCTCTCCCACGTCCGGGTCAACGGTGGGGCCAAACACCACATCACCAGGTGTTCGACAGTCTCCCGCCCTTCCCCGCACTCACAGCAGGGCGTCAGCACACTTGGGACTCCCCGTTTGAACAAGAAGTCCCGGAGGCCTATGTCCCCAGTTCGGACCTGGACCAACAACGAGCTCTTCGCTTTGCTCAGTCCCTCGTGCTTCTTAAGAGTCTTGTCCTTGAATAGAGTCTCCCGTTGGTGGTCGAGGTCATCCGCTGGTCTCGTCGTCGCCCGACCGTCTCGTTCCTTTAGCCATCTCTCTCTCCAAGCCTCCTCGACTACCCTGTCCGTGTCGGTGGTTCCCCCGGTCCAACGCGCTATTACTCCTGCGGCCTCTTCTACCGCTGTCGGCCTCTGTGGCCTTAAGGCCCGTGGTCGGCCCCTGTTGCTCGGCCTTAAGGAAAACCTCCGGCGTATCTTGCTGCAAGCTGTATGGACAATGGTCCCTGGGGCCTTTTTATCTCCTTGGCCGTCGTCGAGAGCGGGTTGTTGAAGCCTGGTTTCGAAGTCGGCAAGTCGTTTGTTGAGGTATAGGTCCAATGGCGGCACCCATGTTTCTGTCTCAAGATTGCGGATTGGAGTGGACTTGAAAGCTCCTGCCACGATCCGCAAGCAGGAGTTTTGAGCCTTCCCAAGATCCTTAGTGATTCCCTTCGTTGCTGGCTTGCCTCCTTTTTCTGTGGGGATGTGGAAAGATGAGGCCCCATAAGCTAGCGCCGACCGGATGCATTTTGAGTACACCTCCCGTGCCTTAGCCAGACCCAGTCCCCACGTCTTGGCTGCGATTCTTGACAGAGCATAGCTTTGGGTCACCAGTTTCCGTTCCACTGCCCTCAGGTGAGCTTTCCAGTTGAGCCTCCAATCCAGCCAGACACCTAGGAACCTAGCTGATTCTGTCGGCTTCACTGGACTGGTGCCTCTCCCCGGCTGGGAGAGGTCGAGTTGGTTGGTCTGTCCGCCTTTATAATCGAAAACGTTATTCAGGCCAGCTCTTAACTATTAGAGGTATTCCACGTTTCGAAAATCCAACCCGCGGTGTCTCCTCGCAGCACCAGGGCATTCAATCGTCGTCGCATATCTACCTCTGTTGGGCGCGGAAAAAACACATACGACCATACCTACCAGAAAACTCGGGATCCCGTCCGCTCTCCCATAGATAAGCTGGTAAGGGCCAGATCAGTAGTTGGGTCGGTGACGACCAGCGAATCCCTGGTGTTGTATGTTTTGGCCTCCTTTTTGGGTCCTTGGTGGAGTTTGTCTTGTCCCAACCAGGACATTTAATTATTGACCCGTTTTGAGGGGATTTGAAGGTGTAGCGAGGATACATATTCGACGAACTCGGGGTGCTCAAAATAATGGCCCCTTTGTGCATGCTTTCGGGTACGTTGAAGGTTGGGGAGGGCTGTACTCTCGGACAAAAACTTTCACCATTTGTTTACCCTGGCTGATGGGGATTTATCCCATTTTGCTTGCTATCCAAAGGCTCTTCTGGGAGAGACGTCAAGTCCAAAATGTGAGACTCCCGGAATGAAGAAAACTAAACCGAAACATCTGTAAAGGGAAAAAAAGGATGTGCTCTGGTATGAGCAAGGATTTGTTAGCACGATCCACCCAGGGGTCGAACCTGGAACCTCCTGATTACTTGAGCTCTCGAAATCTGATGATCTGTTGAGGGGTCGTAGTCAGACGCTCTGCCATTGAGCCAGCGGACCTTGTTGAATGCCAAGGTCGAGTGTCAAAATGAAGAGTTTGGTGTGTGGTGGGACCCGGCGGAGTTCGGATGGTTGCCGGGTACCGGGGATTTGAACGTGATGGCAAGGCGGAGCGGATAGGGCATATCTTGGGGGTCACTGGGGTTCAAATTCTGTAGTGTTGAGTGTTGAATGGGCATTTCTTGGGCAAAAGGGTCAGTCAGGTAATCACTCACCTTGGGACTATCAGGCAATCTCGTCACGAAACAACATTATCACACTCTTCACACCACATACATACCTTGACACCCAGCCAGCCCAACGAAGAGCAGGAGGGGGCTGGTGTTCTAGGGGTTCGAGTCAACAGAACATCACAAAAGTTCAAGATCAAGCCATTTGATGAAGATACAAATCTTGATTACCAAGCTAGAGTATTCATCACCCCTCATCAGCAGCCCTCTCAGGGGATACACGTATATAAACCAACAACAAACCCACCCAACAACACACCAAACAACCTCCCCATATCCCACAAAACAAACCCCCCACTCCACAGTCCAACAAGGCCTCCAACAAGCGATAGCAACCCGCCCGCCAAAAACACAGGACATAAGGTGTATCCAGACAACAACGACTCGTACCGTACCGTACATCTCCCTCTCCAACCACACACCGCCTAACAGGAAACCAAACATGTTATATCCACATTTTCCTCCTCGTGCGTTCCCCGCTCAGTATGTACCGTACCGGTATCCTCCATCAAGATGCCCGGACCCCGTATGTATTCGTGTTTTTCGTGAAGCCTCGTCAGACGTTCGTCAAGGTCGTATAGTCGTCATCAAACCGGGCTGGGGAACACAGGGTATGCATCCCACGCCCGGCCGGTAAAAAAGAGAAGAGAAACAAAAGAACAAGGGATAGGAAATGAGGATGCGAAGGGAAAATAAGGGAGACTGAAATCTCCCAGAGCCACACCGTCCAGTCTATCCGGTTTTTGTGGCTGCTGCTGCTTGTTGAAACTGACAGTTTGCGCCGAGCCAAGCCGAGCCGAATCGAATTTGTCGATTGTCGCCGAACACCACCAGTCGCGTTGTTTGCAGAGCAAAGAGTCGCAGAAACAGAAACAAGAACCCAGAGCAAGCGAAGGAAAGAGATTACTCCCAAAGAGGGATATTCTCCACGTCCTCTCCAAGCCCCGAGTCCCGCTTGGCCTCCTTCTCGTCCTTACCACCTGCGCTCTCCTGCCCACCAGCAACCACCACCGGCACCGTCGCCGGCACCATGGCGCTCATGGCGTCGCAAAACTCGCGGGGAATCCGTGGCACAAAGGGGATGCCCTGGTTCGGATCGGGGACCACACTTAGCGGCTCGTGCTGCGTCACGCTCACCACGCTGCTAGTCGAGCTGCTCGTGCGCATGCGCTGGGGGTAGTGGTAGTGGTGGTGGTTGTGGATATGGAACGCGGGCGGGGGCGGGGTGGCATCGCGGGCGAATTTAACGTTGACCTTGGCGTTGCTGTTGCTGTCGATAGACATGCGCGAGCAGTCCGATTCCGACTTGCGCTGCTGCTGCTCGGGCTCGTCGATGACCATAGCATCCGGGTCCGCGTCAGCAGCAGACGCCGGCGTCAGCTCGTGCTGCTGGCGGCGGGCGAGGCCCGGAATCTTGCGGCGGCGATTTTCTTTGGGTTTGGTCAGCTTGCTTTGACGGAGGGACATCGTCTCGTCGGAGGAAGAAGAGACGGTGACTGACGGAGTGGCGGCGGTACTGCCATAAGACGTCGACGGGCGCGACTTGAACGAGCCGAAGGTGTAATACGCATCCTTCTCGCGGCCCGAGAGCTCCATCGAGATGCGGGAGGCAGAATGGCGCAGCTTCTTGACCAGCTTGCGGGTGGCGTTGGTGGCGTCGCTGGCCAAGTCGGCGGATGCAACGCGCTTGGTGCCGCGCTGGGGTGAGGAGAGGCTGTCAGACTTGTTCCTCGACGATGTGCGAGGGGGAAGTGCGCGAGGCGGAGGCGGAGGCATCCGAGTTGGCGAAGGAATTGGCTGGGGTTGCTGGACAGCAGCCATGTGATCCGCAAAGGACTTGCCCTTTGGCGACGGGGAGGCAATCGGGGCGGCGATGTGCGTAGCAAACGGCTTGGTAGGGGACGGAGCTGGGCTCCGCGGTTGAGCCATATGAGCAGCGAAGGACTTGGTCGGCGAGACGGGCGGACTCCTCGGCTGGGTCGCAAACGACGTTCCCGTGGGCGAGGTCGGCGTACCCATATGCTCAGCAAAGGACTTGCTACCAGCCTGCGACACCGACCCAGGCGGCGCACGAAGCGGATGCCTCCCACCACGAATAGCGTGCGCCTCGAAGAAGCCGGAGGCCATCAAGTTCTTGTAGCTCTCCAACACCTCCTCGCGGCTGGGGTACCCGGTTGTTGGCGGTGGTGGGGACGCCACCTTCTCCCTTTGCTTCTCCCCTCTCTCGACCCTCTCCATCACTGGTGGCACCCTCTCCTTCTCCACCCTCTTCTCACTACCCACAACCGAGTTGACGACGCGGCCAATACTACCAGCCGAGCGGCTCTTGTTGAGATGCAGCTTCTCCTTGACGCCATCCCACAGCGGGGCAAGAAAACTCGCCTTCTTGACCACGCCGCCCTGCTTTGCACCACCACTTTGCTGGTGCTGGTGCTGCTGGTGCTGCTGCTGGTGCTGCTGTTGTTGTTGTTGTTGTTGCTGCTGCTGCTGCTGCGCGACAGTGGTATTCGACGAGCGTACCCACGCGGCGGTGCTCCTCGGTCGCCGGAGCTGGTACCTCCCTCCCGCAGCCTCCTTCTGATGCTCCTCCCGTTGCCTCTGTTCTTCCCTCTGCCTCTGCTCCTCCCTCAATCTCTGCTCCTCCCTCTCCCGTTCCCTCTGCTCTCTCCTCAGCTCCCTCATCTGGTCCCCTCTGATCCCCTTCTGCCCCTCCTTCACCCTCCCCTCATCCTTCCTCCTCTGCTCCCAAACCAACCTCTCCCACCCACTCGACCCCGACCCGCCCCTCCCTCCCTCCCCTTCCCTGCCCAGGCAGCTGCAGCGGCATCTTGGACGGCACTGGCTCCGGCGACGGTGGCGAGGACCCCAAAACCCCGGCGGCGGCGCAGCAGACACCCGGTCGTTCATCGACCCTTCGACGAACCGGCTCATGCCAGCGGCGGCTGAATACCCGCGCGGGGACATCGGGGGCGGGTGATGGAAATGGGGCTGGTTGGGGTGTGTCGGGCAGGAGAGGCGCTACCGCCGCCCGGCCATGGGGATGGCGGGTTGGAGTATGGGTTGTTGGTGGTGATGGCTAGAGAGTGGGTTTGGATTTGGAGGCGGTGGCGAAAGGAGGTTGTTGAGGAGGATGATGTTGATGTGGAGGAGGACATGTTGATATGTGGTGGTGGTTGGGTGTGGAGTGGGGATGGGGGTTGGTGGATAGCATGTAGGTGGAGGTCGGGTGTTGTTGTGGGGAAAGCGTGGCTGGTGGTTGGTGATGCGTGTTTTGTTTAGATGTTGAAAATGTTGATGATGCGCTGGCCGAGTGATGATATGCGCGATGATGTGGGAGCGGGAAATCACGGCTGGTTGGGCGGGTGGTTGGGAAAGGCAGCAACTGAAGCAACCCGACTGGCGATGGCGATGTTGTTGCCGGTTGTCGCGGTTTGTTTACTCCGCCGTTGCGTTGCTGCGATCCCGCCCCAACTCAGTCAGCGCTTCCAGAACAGATCTTTTGTCCTCCAGGCACGCTGCTGCAGGCGATCGGACGCAGCCCCAGGAATCGCCACTGGATTGCGATCAAAATACCTGATGTGGGTGGAGGCGACTAAGAGCAGATGCAGATGCAGCAGAAACGGGAACTCAGGCACAGCAGCAACAAGCAGCAAAAGGCCGCCCAGTTATTGACACGACGCCTTCCCCAGATGGCCCGTCCACACACATCGCGCGGTGGCCGGGCAACGGGTCCTCCCCACCTCTCCAGGCCACTGTTCACCCAATCAGGCCCGAGAACAACCCACCCATCACCGCACTCGTCCAAAGGCAGAGCCCCAGTCGTGGCGCCATATGGGTGGCATCGCAGTGGATCTGCCTGCCATTCTCACACCATGTCCGTCCCAGAATGTCACCCAGCGAACCTGCACAACGCCGACATGCTATCGGTATCTGCCTCTTTTCATACCACAAACCTGCCTAAGCTACTCGAACATAGAGAAAACACAGCCCTCAAATCCCTCACTCTGCCCGCTCTGGCCCGGCAACCAACCACCTCATGGGCCGTTCCGGTCCCCATCTCGACCCCATTCCAACTCCTCAAATTCTTAACCAGCCTGCCCCGTTTCGTCTTGTCCACTTCCCAGCCGTGCTCGCATTTGAACGTCCAGCCATGTGGAACTTCCAAGCGCGTCCAGTCAACCTCGATTCCCCGGTATAGGTAGGTAGGTAGGTACGTATGCTAGGTAACAGGTAAAAAACAGAGACATCCCAGAAGGGAACACCATCGTATGTATCTCGAGAGACCGGGGGGGGGGGGGGAAATGACGAAACAAGATCACAAAGAAAACGAGGAAAAACAAAGAGCGGTGGTAAAAAGAGTGTCCAGAGTGTCCGGTATATGCCAGTCAAATATGACAAAGCTTCTCATCCCACATCTAGCCAGCCCTGGTCGTTGAAAGCCAGGCGGCGCAATCCACCCCCAAGGCATCCCCATGCCTGTGCGCGCATAGACGCCTCGATCCATACCTTATACACAGATCCAACACACACGGGGCGCAACATAAACCACCAACTAGAATAGAACCAACCAACCAACCGGCCGGGCTCGCTCGTCCGATTCCGCACTGGAATGGACCGCGCGGCAGCAGCGAAAACAAAGAAAATACAGTTTGAAAAAATGGAAACGACAAGAAGGAAAAACTCCCAACACCCAACAAACATTAGTAGCCAGTAAAAACCCGCTCACTGCTCCACTCACAACGCCTCACATCCTCTTCCCACTCCCCTAAC